GACTTAAAGATTAGAACTAATCCCTTGGATTGTGCTGGAAAACAATTGTCAACCCATGGACAGAATATGCTCCTATTATTGTGCACAAGTTAGCAGCCTAGCTTTTGGACATTCAAGGGTGGCCCTCCTATAGGCACATCACAGTAGTTAATTTGAGACATGATCAAGGCATGGGTAACTGTTGCCAGATCCAGTGCATACATAATTTCCAGTCTATATACCTTTGGCTCCATAAAATGGGAACTAAAGCCCAACATCTGCCAATCATCATGTTGTGAAAGGCGGCAGTAGATACAGAAATGAGTCACTTATTGCTTTCTGCTCCCTCCAGCCCACCACCATAAAAGAGAGCATATTATTCTTCTCAGCATGAATCACAGATAGCAATAACTTAGGCAGGCCTTTTTATACATAGAGTACAAAATGTAAGAGAATGGGCATTTTTGTACTGGGTGGAGTAGGCAGAAAGTCATCTCTCATCTTGGAGTGGTTTCTGCAAGTGTCAGCTCAGCATTTAATTTATTGTAGAACAAATCACATCAGTGATTGAATCACTCTGGTTTAGCTGCTGCAGTTAGAGCTGAACTGGGAATTTATACAATTGATTCACTGTCTAAAATCAGAGCATATAACTATTGGTGTAAAATTAATGAAATGGAGACTGACAGACTTCCAAAGCTGTGTTTACTAGAGCAGATAAAATCCCAATTATAGACCTCCTGGATTATACAATTGACAAATTATATAAGAAGCTGTGGTCTTCCTGTCTCTTGTGCAATTGGAGAACAAGTCAAAAAGAGAGCTGCTCAAAGAATCTCAGAAAATAGAAGCACAGAAAGACATAGCCACTCTTAGTAAGTTTGGCAATCTGAAATGGTTGATCCAATACAAATATACTTTTCAAACTGCCAACTGTTTAAAGATACAAATGCCAAAACACCTTATGGAGGTATTTACCCGAGTGAGATTTGACCAGCTTGATACAATGGTTAGATATGGGAGGTTTCATGGTATCCCTTATAATGAATGCATTTGTATCTGTGGAGCATCAGAGATAGAAGACTTAGCACATATATTATTTGATTGTAATTTGTATAAGGAGAGAGAGATGTTCCTTGGATCATACATTAAATGAATGACCCATTGGGAACCACATATTAAAACAACATATTTTATGTGTGGTCAGAATTTGAAAAAAACATATAATACAGCTCAGTATCTGAGTAAAACGATACGGTTGAGATCTGCATATGTGGAATTGATTGGGGCAAGTTGTAGGGGTGACACGGAAATATGATCTGTACTCTCACTTATTTGTATACTTAATCACTGTATTTTATTTCCATTTTACCTAATTTGTTTATACATTGGGTTCTATTAACATTTTGTGTTTGAAATTCTGTATTTTGATATGGCCTAAGGGCTAACTTTGATTTGATTTGGTTTAGCAGGAGTTGGATAATTTGGCTGGGGCTTTGGATAAATACTGTTTTATCAAGGCACTCAGAAACATTAAAAAACATACTGAATCATGGGTGAGGGATGGTGTTTTTAGAAATTCTGTATGGAAGTAAGTTGATGTTTTCTCTAGTGTCTTCACTTAAAAAGCCCACTTGCAGACTAGATTCTTGACTTTCCAGCTTGTGCAATTTTGCTAGAGTAGAAATCCAAGTTTTTTAAATTATGGAAATTGTTTTCATCCATTTCGATGAGTCTGAACAGACAAGTGTGCAGATCAGAGACCATATTGCTTCCCAACCTTTACTTGTAAGATGAATGGTCTTGATAGCTTATAGTTACAGTTCAAAGTGCTGGTTTTAATTTTTAGTCTAGGCTATACTACAGAAGTACATGACCTGTGACCCCAAAACTTTGGCTATAGATAACAGAAACCCTCCAAGAGTGGCTGCTAAATTACAATTTTGAATGTAGCAGAAGGGAAAAATGCTTAAATACATGGGGCATATTAATGCATTTAATTAATTTATATCTAACCATAAATTAAATCAAATAGAGTTTTCACTTTGCTCACTTTATGAGCATTCTGCATTTGAAAAGCAGAATGCAGACCTCAGCCTCTGCAAAATGGTGGAATAATTGCTATAGGTTTCATAAGAATAAATTTAGTGAGACTTAACATGTACAGGATTTCACTATAAATGGTTAAAAAATCATATCTATCCAAGAGTTGTGTTACCTGCATCTAGCCTTTCTAGATATCTAGATTCTAGTATCAGCTGCTGATACAATACTTTTCTATGGATGTTCTATGGATGTACATAGTCCAGCACATCTGGAAGATACCAGGCCCAAGGAGGCAGCAGTAACTGTAAGCATTTGGCAAAAGATTTCACTGAATCAAGTATCTGGGCTTTTTTGCTTCACTGTTATGGTAACTTACTTACAACTGAGTTATATTACTTTGTTAACAGGCATCTTATTTCAAAGACTAAAACCTACATATTTTAGCACTGAAAACATTTACATCACTTTAATTGCTTCTGTAAATTCATATCACTATTTCTCAAATGCACAGAAGATATTTTGTGGAACAATAGTGGCATCTAGTGATCAAATTAAAAATTAGTTATTTCTTCTCATTAATACAGTAAATGCTTTTTCATTTGTATTTTCTTCCCCTTTAAAGAGAATGTAGTTCCATTCCTGTGCCTCCAGAATGATCTGAAACAAAAATCTATAAAGATGAATAAATTATGTACATAAATTATTTAGAAACAGGCTGTACTATTATAAACTTCTCAAACTGGATGTAAAATAAAGTTCCTAATTATTTCTTAAGCTGTCTCTCATGTCAAGGGATGAACTTACCAACACAACAGTTGGAACTTAATGCTTTATTCTATGAAGTAAATTGAAATGTGTTTACTTTTGTTTAATGGAAGTAATAAAAAAGGGTTTATTCAAACAGTAGTAAGCAAAATGGAAACCAGAACCAGAGGAACATTTCTGGATTCACTTATTTTAAATTACAGTTCTAATCATTGGCATCTGCCTCAGTGAGTCATGATGTAAATCTTGTTCTTATTTGTACCTTGACTTCTGATGCAAGCTGTTTGCACTGTTATATACTGACACGTTCTGTCAATTGCCACCCTCTGTCCCCGGTCCACAGATATCCATGTTCTCTGTCTTTCATTGTCCAAATTATTAAAATTTAATTTTTATAACACATATACTGCCACTCAAATTCACAATGAACTCTGTGAAGCATACTTTCAAGTGTTTAGGGATAAAATTACAGTTTCACAGGTTAGCTCAGATACCTTAAGGCCCTTGCTTCCCATTCAAACCTATCCTAACCTGCCAATTTATTTAAAGTATTTATAGCCTGGGTATTATCCAGGGGACCTTGTAGATGACAAGCCATAAAATAGGCAAAGTAAAATGGTAAAGCCAACTTAATTTAAAACATGCAGTAATGATCATCATCGTTACCTGTTACTGAGGCACTCAAGGTATGTAAGGAAGGCAGATAGTGTCAGCCCTGTCTCTGGTTCTTTCTGCCATTAGAGCAGTGTTGTCCAAACTTGGCCACTTTAAGATGAGTGGATTACAACTCCCAAAATTCCCCAGCCAGCCATGCTGGCTGAGGAATTCTGGGAATTGAAGTCCACTCATCTTAAAGTGGCCAGGTTTGGACAACACTGCATTAGAGATAGGTGGGGATGGCGGCAGCACAGCCACTATGGGTGGGGAAAAAACTATTCTGTTAGACTTTCTTTAGAAGTTTATTTTAAATGTTTGTTCTGTTTCTTGTTGCTTTTGTAATGCCTCCTGATTCTACTATTGTAATTTTAATACAAATCAAAATGTTCTATAATCTGCTTTAGGCAGTTTCAGCTGGAAAAGCAGATATATTGAGGAATGAATGTGTCTTGATCATTCCTTTGACTTTTGATAGGACAGTTCTGTGGATCATTAATCCTGTCAAAGGCCTTAGGAGAAAGCATGGGTAAAATGTCTTCTCCATTCAATATCAGGTCTAGTTCTGAAACTAAAGGAATTTAATTATAGGTTGAATTTGGGGCAGTTATCACAGTAACAACATTTGTTAGATTTATAGTCTTTCTTCTGCAAGCCCAAGATAGTGTATATAGCGTTCCCTTTTTCATTTTTCTCCGCAACAACTCTGTGAAGTAGGTGGAACTTAGAAAGTGGCTGGTACAAAGTCACCCAGTGAGAATGGACCTGAATATCAGTCCCTCCAATATCAATCAACACCTCAACTACTATTTCTTACTGGTTCTTTTTCATCTATAGAACTGAACATGGTATCAATAAAAGAATCACAAACTTCTTCAAGTTATTCCTTCCTTCCTTCCTTCCTCCCTCCCTCCCTCCCTCTTTCTTTTTCTTACAGAGAGAGAGAGAGAGAGAGAGAGAGAGGAAGCTTGAAATACAAGAAAGGGAGGGAGGGATACCTATAGCACTGAACTACAAAGAAACATGCCAAGACAACACTAAACTTCAGGATAGTTTAAGACTACACAAGGGACTGGGGAAATAGAACTCATTAAATCCTTTAAATTTTATACCCAGGTCATTCAAATGGCAACAGTAATGCATGCAGGCCTATCTAATACAATATGGCAAAGTTCAAGACAACAGTCCCTACGTAGCAGCTTCTCCTCATGGTTCCTCCATAGCTCATTAAAAATTCCATGCAGATTACCTGAGTGTCTGAGACAAGTCTACTATGTGCCTGCACAGAACTTTTCCCATATTTGTTCAAAACTTTTCAAAGGTGACAGTATTGTTAAATCAATTTGAAAACTCTTGATAGGAGTGCTTGTTTCCAGTACTGGAAATGGTTTTAGCTCACTATATTTCATTTAGGTGTTTTCTATTATGACTATATGAACAGGAACAGGAATAACATTCTTGTAAAATATTTAACTTGGAAAATGTATACATTTTGAAAAAGTCAGGAAGTGAAGCACCTAAACATGATTTTCAGATATACAATTATGGATTTAAAATGAAATAAGGAATCAAAATTAAGGTTAGGTCCATGTATCAAGTTAGGTACCAACATGGTTTCACATTATATAGAGACTAGCTCTTTATATAGGACCTACTAATTATTAGAATAAATATTCAGGATCCAAAGAACTAAATTTGACACTTTTCCTGGAGCCTTGGGGTCAGGATGAGTTGAGTCCCCAGTTGATGAAGATTTCAGTTCTGATTGCCATTTTACTATTTATTATGTGTTAATGAAATATGTTATTTTTGTATTGACTTATGATTTTCTCTTCTTGTTTGTACACACCTGAGTCACATGCTTTGCCTTGAGCAGCCATATAAATGCTTTTACAAATAATAAACACAAGCAGAGTGGAATTTTTATAACCCGTTTAAGAGCAGACCTGAATGCCGTACCAGATACCTCATGTCAGTTTCAGAACAACATTTTGCCATGGAACCTGCAGAGGGATGTTTCAGAATCCAGAACTAGATGAAGAGTTATTTAGATCCCAGTCACTTCATTTTCTTAGTTTTTTATTAGACTGGGTATGCTTATCTGAGCTCTTAGAATATAAAACTTAAATGCATTTATAACTACAATAGCTATTACATAGATGCCTAAAGGATTCTCTTGTTCTGTATAATGCAATGGTTAACAATAATCCTTTAATCAGCTGTTAAACGTAGAATAACCTATTACTCATTCTGAGACATACTCAAGTGCTGAGGAAGACACAGACTGGGACATCTTTTACATCTGAGGAATCTATAGGGCTGAATTCTCCTCCTCTTCCTCCTTCTGTATACACTTAGGCTGAAGACTTACAACTATTATTCACTGTGTTTCATCCTCTATTATTAAATAACTATACTGTTAATTGCAGCACTTATTATTTTGATTGTATTGAGAGTCCACAAATATTCTGTCTCGAGAATCATCTTATGAGGTAAGTTCTTAATATTCTTATTTAACTCATGCAAGTTGTTTCAGAGAGAGAACTTTTTCAGCATGTCCCAATTAATTTGTTTAATTATCTATTAACCTCAGATATTGCAAATTTTATATAGTTAGAAATGCAAATGCTAATTCTTTGCATGGTGTATTCAAGGGACAAAAGAGAGGCTATCTTCTATGTACTGTTTTTCTAAAATAGTCTATCATGCGTTACCTTCTATCAGACTAAAAACTGAGCATTTGTAGCTGCACAGAAAACTTTTGTGTGATTGCCTGTCTACACACTCCTGGCCAATTAGCAATAAAAATAACACAGCTATTTTTAATAGCAGGGCTTTTAAAAAAAGTATTATAGATATATTTGCTACATTATGTTATGCTAATCTTGATTATTGGTCACTGATGATAATAAAGCTTTGTTTTAAAAATGTAAATAAAAAAAAAAACACATTTCATAGTACTTGCCAGATCTTAAAGTTTTAACAGTTCTTTACATCATGAGTGGAGGACTTGCAGTTCAGCAACGTCTAAAGAGCCATATCTGCTGTCACTTCAAACCAACATAGCTAATAATGAGACTGTTGGAACTGGATTTCAGTAAAAAGACACAGGTTCCTCATTCTGTTTTACCTGGCACTATACACACCAGGTCCAATCTCTTCGCACTTCTGAATCAATAAACTGTTTCACTCCAGATGTGGATAGAAGTAGCAATGTCTGGAGAAAGCTGCTAAAAACCTTTAGCTGCCAAAATGCTTTAAAAAGTACATCAGAACACAAACATGAATCTGCTTAACTGACAAACTGACACATTAGGGAAAACATTACACTGAATCTGACTTAAGGAAGGAAGGTTGGTTGGTTGTCAGGTATACTTTATTCACCTTTATTCAGGTGTAAGCTCTACTCAGTTTAAAATTGAGTAATATAGGATTAGGTCAAGTAGATTTGCTTAACAGTAAATACTGCTGGAAACTGTAACAATAAAACGTATGAGATGTAAGTATGTCCTCCTACAATCACTGTGACTTACTAAAAGTAATTAGTCACCAGGATAAGTAAAAAAAATGTAACATCTCTCTTTGCCTGATAAAATTATATAAAAAATAGCAGTAGTTAGAAAACCATAGCTGCAGATGCTTAAATATGTTAGTGTAAGGATACGGATGACAAGCAATAACAGGGCTGTCCTTCTAAGCTGCTAAGGACATCTGTTATTAAGCCACTGAAACATAAAAAGGTGGAAATCTTGATAACATTTTTGGATGGTGAATAAAGTTAAAAATTGCCCTGCAATTATTTAAGAATTCTTGACAGAACAACTTGGAATTAAACTTTCTAAAGTGCTTTCCTACGGCTATTATCTATGAAGTGGCAAACATTTCTCATGCTGCAAGTCAGTTTTTTTAATGTGAAAAAGAATTATGCCATTATGTACTTCTACTTGTCTACATTATTAAAAAAAAAACAGAATTTTTCAGCTAATGTATACATAAATTGTTTATCTTCATTATTTCAATGAAAGAATTAAATTATTTAGAAATCCCCTTGGAAGCATACAGCATAATAAAACCTAAAATAATGGTAGCTGTAACAATTATAATAATGAAGTGCCAGTTGTTTATGTATCATCGTTTTTTAGACCCACTGTTACCACTTGTAGGCTTATTAAAGCTCCTACTCATTTGTGGGAAGTGTACAGTTGGGGTCCTTTCATTTGGGCCATACAATCCTAGATTTCTGGCTGCAGCTGATTTTCTGAGTGGCTTGACACTAGGGAAAGGACAAAATACTTGTGACTTAGGAGTGCAGGATTTTGCCATTGTTCCATTGTCACTGGCCAAACTTGGCAACTCAGAAGTATGCGTTTCATCTTCAGTACCATCTGTACTATTCTGTGTGAGTTCCAATGTTTCCAACTTCTGCTGGACCACTGATACATTGACACTGGTATTGGTATCTTTGTAAGCTGGTTCAGGAGACTGTCCATCAGTTGAAATGTTCCCATCACTTTCCATAGATTTAGCTTTGTTTGCAGTTTCTTCTTTTGCATTAATACTGTTAGCTTTCCCACGGTCACTCTGCTCCTCAATTAGTCCTATAGTATCTCCATAGCCCAGCTGGCCTTTGGCTCTTGCTATGTTCTTTCTGTGTACCCTCATGTGAGTGCGCCATGGAGAGTTTAGCTTTGCTTTAATATCTTCATGGGGGCCTGGTAACATCTTCCCCCCAGTGTGGCTTGGAACACTATTTTTGGCAGACTTGCTGGTTTGTTTGATCTTCTTACCTAGCAGAAGATGGTTGATCACTGGAGAATGATTTACCTGAGAGGGCAGAAGACTGGTAACTGCACCTTTATCTGAAATAAATATATATATATATATATACATATATTAAAGTATACTACTGAAAGAGATTTGGAAAAAAAACCCTCAAATAAATAGAAAGCACATTTTCTGATTATATTGTAGACACAGAAGCAAAGATTTGTAGGATTTGAAGAAGACGAACTTCCATTTCACTTATACTCTACAGCATTATTTTTAAAACCAAACCTGAGTCAAAGATGTCTTGCCAACAAGTAAACACTGCATTGGCTGCATAGTTTTATTCGCTGGAAAACAAAATGGCTGCAAAAAATAGAGCACACTGTTTTCAGAGTAGAAAACAGTGAAAATACATTTTAATTAACGTTTCTGAATGTTAAAGGAAAAGCATGAAAAGCCATCTGGGTGACTTTGGGCCAGTCACTCTCTCTCAGCCCAACTTACCTCACAGGGTGGTTGTTGTAGGGAAATAGGAGGAGGAAGAAGTATTAAGTATGTTCACTGCCTTGAGTTATTTATGAAACTAAAGGTGGGATAAAAAATGTTTTAAAAAAGGGTGCGATATATAGGAAGCAGCCTTGGAACAATTAGTCTATCTCTCTCAATATTATCTGCAATGACTAGGAGTGACACTTCAGAGTTGCAAACAGGAACTTTTCTCTCTCCTCCCAGAAAATGCCATTCTCTTGTGCACTACTACCAACTACAAATCAAATTCATTAATTAACCTGTAGTAATCCTAGCAATTTTTTTCCTGCCACATATCCCCAAAATAATGCCATATAAAAGTAAGTTTTTTTTCCAGTAATGATGATCAGAATAGATACTAAGTTGAAAAATGTGAAATCTTATATATGATGCTCTAATAGTTACACTGTGATTGAGTTAATTTAGTCAAAAAATAAACCACCACCATGATAGTAATTTAAGTAATTACGTTTGCATTTCCAGTTGGATTTACTAAATCATGCCAATAGAATGCTAGATATCTTTAACTAATACCAATAAAGCACATAATCAAAGAGCCATGTCATATCTCATCTTATGCAATGAAGGCTCATTAATTTAATATGGCATTCTAAAAGCACGCTAAAATGTCAAAAACAATCAACATGTAGCTAAGCTATATAGCTGGAAAAGATTAGTAAAAGGAAGATTTGGCAATCTTGGAAAATGAAAATTTTATTTTGGCTTTAGCACCATAATTGTATTGCATTTCTCAAATTCTAGAAAAGATGCTGCCCTGTGACATGCAGGACCAACTATCCTGAACGTCCATCCTTGAGGATGGAGACAAGTCTGCAGTGCCAGATACAGCATGCAAATGCTTGCATTATTGCACCAGTGGCAGGAGGCTAATCCCAGGAGGGTGAGTGAAAGTGCAGGCCTCCCATTGCTAATTGCACAGACAATATTACCATTAACTGTACAGATTCATTCTAACTGAAGCAGCATACAAGCCTGTGAAATAAATATGTTTACTTATATATAAACTAGCAGGATTTAGACCAAAATTCTTTCTACATTTATTCAGCATAATCTTGTAATATTTCAGTAGTTCAGATTGCTGCTTAGCAAGCTAGTTAGGTGTTTAGAAGTTTTTATTCCAAATCCAAGGATGCCAGAAGTGTTAGTGAAATCAGTGCTTAATACCCATGGAGCCCAAATAGCACAGATATCTTTAAATACCATTATTCAGCTGGTCCCTGGGATCTAATACTATCCCAAGGTCATCATCTTCATACCCTAACAAAAGAAAAACAAAGATTATAAACTCTTTTATAAGTAGCTTTTTGCCATCAGATGAGATTATTTCAGTCATGCTGTCAGATCCTGTCTTTTTGTTTTCCTTCTCCTTCTTCTTTATATACAGGTACTCCTCGACATACAACCATTCATCCAGTGACCATTCAAAGTTATAGCAGCGCTGAATGAATGGTACTTACACCCAGTCCCCAAAGTTATGGCTGTTGCAGTGCCCCCATGGCCACATGATCAAAATTTGGTTGCTTGGCAGCCTGCCCACATTTACAACAGCAGGGGTGCTTCAATTCCCCCCGCCTTCCTATCTCTCCCCTATCTCTGACCTTTTGGCACAGCAGCACTCCTCGGCGGCGGCGCAAGGGTAGAGGCCCACGGTCTTCAACAGTCTCAGCTGGCCGCCATTGCCCCAGGGTCAATGGCGCCCCATTTCAACCCCAGAGCCACTGCTGAAGAGTGCTACCGCAAGCCCCACACCATGGCCAGCCGCCCCAGTGCCACAGAGCAAAGCCCCTGCCTCCCCTGCACTTTGCAGGCCCTGCCATGCCCAGCTGACCTTAGCCATCTTCCTCCCGCTGCTGACAAGGCGTGCCCGGACTGGCCCTTCGCAAGGCAGCTGCTGGCTATGACAGGTCTTATTCCTAAGCCCACTCATGCTGTTCTCCAAATAGCATGCCCCATTCTCACAATGCTTCAGAAGGCCTTCAGAAAGCTTTTGAGGACTTCCAAAGCATCACCAGAACAGGGTGCGCTATTTGGAGAATGGCATGAGTGGCCTCAGGAAGAAGGCCTGGTGCAGCCAGCAGCTGCCTTGAATAGGGCTGGGCTGGGAATGCCTCATCAGCAACAGGAGGAAGACAGGTAAGGTCAGCTGGGCTCAGGAGGGCCTGTGACGCTCAGGGTGGCAGGGGCTTTGTGCTGTGGTGGCTGGCCACGGCGTGGGGCTTGAGGTGGCACTCTTCTGTGGTGGCTCTGGGGCTGAAGTAGAGGCCCTGGGGCAATGGTAGCCAGCAGAGACTGCTGAAAACCCCAGGCCTCCACTTCAGCCCAGCACTGCCGCCAAGTAGTGCCGCTGTGCAGGGCGGCCAAAAGGGCAGAGATGGGGGGAGATAGGTGGGTGTGGGGAGTTCAAAAGGAGGCAGAGTAGCCAGTACCTTACCTTACTGAGGCTCGGGGCTGGGAGACACCAAGCTGGGAATGGCTTGGATCAGGGTAGGTCCTTGCCTAACAACCGGTGGGATTTGGTTAACGACAGCAATAGAGGGTGCTGGGATTACTGTTACTAAGCAGTGCGGTTACGTGATATTTCACCAAATGACCACATTGCTCAGCAACCAAAATTCCAGTCCCAATTACCATCCTACCACAAGGACTACCTGTAAACTAAACTGAACACGAATATTTGCTTCTTAATATAAATGCAACTAACTAATAATACTGCCAGAATTATTAATTACCTGCTGTGATGTACACCTGATGAACCTGCTGTTGCTGCTTCTTTTTTATCCGGGAATACTGCCTTTTCAGCGCATTGATGTCTGTGGTCATACGTTCCATCATCATACTGTTAAAAGCCGCATGATATTCACTTCGGCAGGCATTCACTGCTCCAGGACTTAGTTCTGCAATGTTACTCGAGCCAAAACTTTGCTCTTGGTTAAGATCTAGGAAAAACACCAGAAAAATATATCAGAATACAATCCACTAACAACAGGCTTTTTCTCAGGCAACTTTTGCATAGCAGTGGCTTTAGCTATCCTGATGGTATCTATAAAAACTAAAAGTCTCTTTCAAATATTCTGTGGAGTTTTCTTAGCGACAAGACAGAAAAGATCTTGTTTTTTAAAGATGCTTCCCAATCTAACCATAGCCCTGGGATTTCCTGGTAGCCTTGGAGTACAACCAGGACCTTAGCTCAGCTTTTTAAGATCTGTCAAGGTCAGTTAACCTTTTCTCCTAATTGGACAACATTATTCGTATTTACCAAGGGTGTCTGCGTGGTATGGTAAAAAGGTCAAGGTGGTGGTCACCATGATGCAATTGAAACTACCTCTGATATTTTCACTTAATTGAATCAGAAAACTTAAAAATCCTACAGAAGCTACCTAGAATCAAAAGCTGTATATACAGTGGGAAATTACTGCTTTAATTTCATGAGTGATAAATTTGTGGCTTAGGGTTTCAGGTTATTTTGCAACGTAGTGCACAGCAAGCCATGAGAAATGAAGTGGGATAAGACAAATACTGATAGAAAAACAATCCCTTAATGAACTCATAAGATTCAATTATCATATCATATGAAAAACCAATCATGTTCTATCACACTATGATCATAATCACTTAATGGAGGTGGGGAGCTTCTCAATTGAAGGACCATTTCTCTATTTAACATATTGTTTTCAGCAGCTGTGAACTGCAGTGGGCAGTTGGCATCATGATGTCACCTGCAGGGCTGTGGTTTGTATATTTGAATAGGTAGTCCTTGCTTAACGACTGTCTGTTTAACGACAGTTTGAAGTTACGACAGCCTCAGAAAAAGCGCTTTACAACCTATACTCGCACATATGACCATCACAAACCATCACATCATCACCCATGGTCACATGATTGCAATTTGCAAACTTTTATGACGGTTAAGTGAATCGTTGCAGTTGTTAAGTGAATCATGCGGTCGTTAAGTGAATTCCAGCAAAAAATGTCCATTGGAGAAGCTGGGTTCGTTTAATGACAATGACCATGTGATTCACTTAATGACCATTGCAAAAATGGTTGTAAAATTGGGTCTGATTATGCAGTGACTCACTTAACAACTGTCCTGCTTAACAACCAATTTTCTGCTTCCTATTGTGGTCATTACGTGAGGACTACCTATAGTGTTAGGAATGGGGGAGCTCTTGCAATCTTTTCAGTGAATAAAACATTTACAAACAAAAACTTCATTATGGCCAAAGACCAACATAAAACAATGTAATATTTATTCAATATAAACAGAAATATAAAACTATAATATGAAAGGTGTGGTCAAAGACCTTGCTTCAATTTTTGGATAGTCTCCTGCCAAATCTAGGAGATGTAAAAAATGGGGTTCAGGGGCCACATTTTAATTTCTATATTGTTTAACCTTGCAGTACAGGCTCATTTATTATATAAATTATCTGTCCTGAACACACCATGTCGTTGTCTTACATGCCATACAACTGCAATGGCTTTTTATTTGGGTATTTGATTATAAGCTTAAGTCTCGTGGGCATCAGGAATTTAAATGTCATGTTTTAGAGAAATGAAGTTAGCCTCAGCAACAAGGGCCTTTGAATATCCCAGTTGAAAGCCCCATAAAATTACTGAAATATTCAAAGGTTAATATTTACCTTTGAAATGCTTTTGATACTTCTGTAGTTCTGGAGCCAAAAATCCACTAAATGGTCCAAGACATCCAATAACATTTGCTATGGAGTCTTCATCATCTATTTCATTCTCTTCATCACTGTCTTTTATTTTTCCCAGTCGGCTAAAAACCAGAGCACACAGATATGACTTTCTCAGATGATCAGGTACAGCCATAATAATGTGAATGATTCCTCAAGCTCTCTCTTCTTTTACTTACACCACAAAGGGCCTTACCTAGCAGTTGATTTTACCGACGCAGGAAATGGTGTAATGTTGTACGTATATTTCTCTCTTAATTCAGATAGTTGAGGAAAGGGGAACTGGGCCATAGAATAAACCATCTATGAAAAAAGAGAGAAAGAAACCCAAGTGTAAATTTGAAAATAATGCCTTTAAGCCACTTTTCATGCAAATTCAAATATGAGATGATCCTCACACATTTGCAAGATTAAACAATGCCTTTTCCACATGTATAAAAACAAAGGTGAAAAGCTTGATTTTTACTAATGCAACAGATATTGTCTGCAGGGAAGACAAAGAATAATACACAAGAAATATAACCAGTCAATTCCTGAAATAACCAGTGGAGATAACAAGAATGTTAGGGTGAAAATAATGAAAATTTTGTGAATGCACATATTCCTTGCATTCAAAGGCATTTGTATGCAGAGCAAAATATGCATATGTACATGCACCCACTTATTTTATACTTTAAATGTATTTGCCCTCAATGCTTTAGAATTCTTGAACTACAGTCAGGTCCAGAAATATTGGGACATCGACACAATTCTAACATCTTTGGCTC